GTAACAGTTTTTAAAAGTTGGTAATATCAGTTGCCCTTTTGTAACAGATCTAGTTGAATGACCACTTCCAGAATTTGATTTGGGCAGCAATGCACAGAGAGTTCCATAACTGGCACCTTGGAAGATCTGAAAATATAAATTAAWACCACTATACAAAACATAATTCTGAAAAGTCAAGTCTGTAATAGCAGTAACTGAGACTCATTCACAACACCTACTCTAAATTCATCACAACATCATCAGCAAATGACAATCTTAGTCTAAAACAGGGGTCTGCAATCTGCGGCTCTTTGGGCCCTCTGCAGTGGCTCTTTGAAAATGTGGCCAAACATAACAGAATAAATTTTTCTGTTTGTTTTTTTATACCCACAACAGAAATCAATTTGAATGCAAATATACAGCATGCTCAATACAAAAAGTAAAACCTGTAGATTAGCTCATGCTAGCCTGTTGTTTACTTAAATAATCCAATTTATTGCTACGATCTTTCTCTCAAATCCATCTGAATTACTTTTTAATATTTTGAAGACTGCATAATAMTAAGAATTAGAAAATAGTTTAGTTGTACTAGTTTTTATGAAATTCAATATAAACTATATGTTTTTTTTGTTTGTTTACATGAAAATAGTTTTTCATTTGTCCGCATGTGTAAAAATAATAATAAATATTAAAATTCACAGTATATTTTTTAGTTTTATAATGTCACCTCCACTGGCTGTAAAGGTTCCCGAAAAGGCCTCAAAAAGGCCCATGGACCACCAGTTGATAATCACAGTCATAGCTTGTTTTGCGGCTCTGGACACATTTTATCAGTGAGCCGAGGAGCAGAAATGGCTTTTTTGATGGTAAAGGTTGCAGACCCCTGGTCTAAAACATTAATGTAACCGGCGACATGCATTCCTTCAAGTTAAGCTAGTCCTTAGATTAAAAAAACAACGTTTCTGTCCTTTTTCAGGAATACACGGTGGACGTTTTCTTCCGCCAGAACTGGAAGGACGAGCGACTGAAGTTTCACGGCCCGATGAAGACCCTCCCTCTCAACAACCTGATGGCCAGTAAGATCTGGACCCCCGACACCTTCTTTCACAACGGAAAGAAATCCGTGGCCCACAACATGACGATGCCCAACAAGCTGCTGAGGATCACAGACGATGGAACGCTGCTTTACACCATGAGGTTTGCTTTTTTTATTTTTACTGTTTCTCTTTGTTTTTACAGCTGTGTTAAGCTGGAATGTTTTTCACTGAAAAGTAACCGTGTTGGATGAAGTGTTGGAGGTGTGTGACTCAAACTGAAGTCAGTTGCCTGCAGCCTTTTTCAGCTTTCTCAGTGTTTCCGTCATCCCTCATCCCTCACGTGTTAATCTTCCAGCAAAGGTGTTTTAGACTTGCAAAGAATGCAACAAAATATGAGGATTTTTAGTTGTAGCATGGAGAAATAACAATTTTTTGTGTTTGCAATACCTTGAAATAAGCATCTGTCCACTAAATCTGTWGTGTTGTTGTGTCATGCTTGTGTAAAACACAGTGAAGAAATAGTGTAATTAGTAAATAATGAAATTATACGTTTACTCAAACATTAGATCCAATCTGACATCTTCTGTTTCAAATATCTRTCTTCATGCCATTATACTCTCAACCATGTCGTACTGTTTACCTGTTTGGTCTCTTACAACAAATGAAATCTTAGAACCCATAGTTAGGCTCTACAACAGGGCCTACAAAATTCATGAAAAASTTCCTGGTTGGACTCATCACTGTACAGTTCTTTCATTGTCTGATGCCTTGACTTTTCAGAATTATGTTTTGTATAGTGGTATTAATTTATATTTTCAGATCTTCCAAGGTGCCAATTATGGAACTCTCTGTGCATTGCTGCCCAAATCAAATTCTGGAAGTGGTCATTCAACTAGATCTGTTACAAAAGGACAACTGAAATTACCAACTTTTAAAAACTGTTACGGCCAGAGGTCTTTCTTCTATGTTTATACTAAAGCATGGAATGACATTCCTCAAAACATAAAGTCCATTTCAAAACTACAGCCCTTTAAGAAGAATCTTGTCTGCCATCTGCTGGACACTTTTTGTTGTGCTCATATTTAGACGTCCTATTTTGCAAATGCTGCCTTTTTGAAATTTGGTATGCTTGTTTGTCTTTGTGTCTATGGTGTATAATGATGTGATTGTGATGCTGTAATTCTGAGTGTTTTATGTGCTGCAGAACAGGAACCTGCTGTAAAACAGCAATTATGCTGAGTCAGGCTTGATTTTTAGTAATCTTTTCCTGTTAAATAATAAATAAATCAAATCAAATCAATTGCACAGTCTGACCTTTGGGGTGAATTAGCTGGGCTGTCCTTAGAAGCTGATGTATAAAATAATATTTGGACTCCATGTAGTTTGGAAACAACCTTTAACTCTTTCCAGATTGACGGGCAGCTCCAGCTGAGCTCATTGCTGATGTCTCTCCTGCTTGACGTTGTGTCACCTCACTCCTCCAGAGAACCAAACTGACAAAAGGCTTGCTTTAATTGACCTGGCTGTTTTGTTTAATTAACATTTAAAGATGCTCTGATCCATAAATGCGTGTTTATTTTTTAAAATTTTTATTCAAAGTGTCTGAGTTGCAGCTCCAAAGCTTTGACGGCATGATCTGGCCGGATCAAACAGACGTGTTTCCTGTAAGCAGGGAGTTGTTTTCTCAGACAGACTCCATCTGTTTGCCGAAGGCAGCGACTGACCTCAGCGATAGCGACAGATTCTGCTTCTTTCAGTCCGATACATCTGATTCCAGGAATCCTCCCGGCAGCTTCTCCCTCCACCTTCCTGTTGGTTCAACACAGACTCAGACCAATCAGCCTCCACCACAAGAGGATTTTACTTAAAATGAACCAATTTTCTGTTCACTTTAGTTAACGTCAAACACTAAACCAAATGATTATTTAATGTAGGTTCAATACCAGGTTTATCAGCACCTACAAATCTATTGGATGTTTCTGTGATGATTCTCTCATCTGAAGGTTAGAGGATAGCAGAACTGAAACATGTTTCCTGGCAGGTTAACGGTTCAAGCCGAGTGTCCGATGCACCTGGAGGACTTCCCCATGGACTCACACTCCTGTCCTCTCAAGTTTGGCAGCTGTAAGTGTTAAAACCTCCTCACACGGTTGGGTTTCATCCCCACTGAGGGGAGAAATAAACGTAACTCTAGAAAAAAATATATTTTTTTAGAATCAGAGAACCAGTTTTTGTGGAGAAAAATGGAAAACATTTAATTGAGTTTATGCTACAACAAAAAGGCAACATTAATATTTTTTTAAACATTTGTTGCTTTGTCTCCAGTAACATGTTTATTAAATTTAATATGTCAGCACAGTTCTTTAATAGGGTCAACTGGTATTAATGTGAACCGTGTTTGTTTTTTCTCCTGCAAAATAACAACAAGAAAACAAAAACAAACAAATAAACAAACAAACAAAAAAACCCTAAATGTACATCATGACAATGGAGAAGTAGAGCTTCAGCTTTGGGAGTCAGCTAAATCCAAGAAGGCTGCCAAACTCAGCTTAACTTAGAAGGTATAAAACRACCAAGGCTGTGTCAATATAATATGGTTCATGATTCAATTACATCAAGGCCAAAATGAAAATCTGGATCTATATCATCTTCACATAAACGATGTAGATAAATATGCCCATCTAACACAGTCAGTAGCTGTGTTTCCATTGACCATGAAAATCTGCAAATTAGAATTTCGAAAATAAATTTGCTCAATGGAAACACACCAATTTCGAAAAAAAAAAATTACCTTTTTCGACAAAATGTTTTTGCGCTAGGATGACGTGGTTTTTCGGCCGTATCGAAATTGGTGTTTTTCGCAAAACTGCAATAGAAACACTTTGTTCGCATCAAGGGAGTCAGGTGATCAACAACCGGCTGTTTCTACTGGCGAAAAAGACGATGACGAAGACAATAACAGGAAGTAGAAGTAGTAGTAATATCACAGAAGTAGTATAAAATAGTAAACTCACCGACTACAATTTCCCAAAAACACAGCATACGTAGCCACTCCCAAGTAGGGGCTTGTCTCTGGAAAGCCTCGATAAAAGACGCCGACGTCTCCTCTGATGATGAGCGCTAGTGTCGCGGTAGCAACATGCTATGTGTTTACATCCATTGCCGCCATGTTTCTAATGACTTATCATGAGAACAAACGCATTCACGCGTGACTTTGATAGCATTTCCTACTTAATGGAAACACCGCAGTTGCGAAACTGTGTTTTTCGACATTGACAGAATATCGAAGAAGTTTTACGCACATTTGCGATGGAAACTAAGCTATTGTGTTAGACGGGCATACGATATTACATTATATTGATCGCAGACATGTGAACTGAATTGAAATCGTATCACGACAGACTTTGTGATGTCGAGAAATATCAAATCGTCATCCAAACAAATCAATATATCATCGCTCACCATAATACGGGATTTAGCTACTTTAATTCCGCTTTGGAAAGAATGTTTCACAGCCATGCGTGGAGGTGTGTAAAGTACAGATATTTTAAACTCACACACAATGCCGCCAACAACAGTTAATACAAAACAAACGTTTGCATGTCAACACAAAGCTTTTGCGAGGCAAATCAAAAAAAAAAAAATCCCCCCATGTCCCCTCGTGGGCTCCGTGATAAATAACAGAATTTTTTAAAGAAGAATTTTACACTCAGAAAGTGAGATAAGTAATGAAAATGTGTTAGTGATATTTTTTACTTGTTACCTGTTGTCCTGGTGAAGGAGGTCGTCTGAACGTCTGATCCTGCATCAGATTCGCTCGTTAGATATAAATCACACACAGCCTGGACCGGTGTTTAAAATATGGAAAATATAAAAGATTTATCAGCTCTGTTAAACCAGATCAAGTTGAGACGATCGTTCCTCTCCTGTTTGCTCTCATGATTGTAGACGCCTACACCAAGACGGAGGTGACTTACATCTGGACCACCAACGCCTCCCAGTCTGTGGTGGTGGCAGATGACGGGTCCAGGCTCAACCAGTACGACTTGGTGGGACAAACGGCCGGGAACGAGACCATCAAGTCYAGCACCGGTGAGCAGCAAACAGGAAGCAGATTATTTCAAATGCTAAATTGGGTTTCTTTAATTTTAACCTCAGTCTTTTCTCGTTTATTAAATTTTTTTTGACTTAAAGAGCAGATTTACTGAAACTGGAAGATCAGACATTTTTAAATATACGCATTCAACTGATTTAATTATCAATTATTATCTTTTTTTGTTAGTTTGTTTTTCTTATTTTTTAGCCACTTCAGTAGAAAACAGAACTGAATATTAGTTTCATCATCATCAGTGACTTTTTTTTTTATAAAAGCGAGAAGAAAAAGAAAAAAAATCTATTACTATCAATGCAACATTTTCCCATGTCTGTGTCCACGTGTTTTTTTTTTTTTTTTTGTCTGTTAGCAAAAAACCCGCTGGGCTGATTTAAAATTCTCAGGAATTAATCATTAAAAATGTCTACAAGTGATTCAGTTTTGGGGCCGAAGATGGCCGTCACAGAGAACCAATATTTGCAGACACATTTGAGCTTTTGAGCTAAAATTTTGTGTGGTAGCAGTTGATTCAACCTTACATTATATCATTTACAAGGATTGACCTAAATAAGTGCAACAACAACATTCCCCGAAATGCATTCCTTCAAGGATTCTAGGGATTTAATTCAAACTGAATATTATATTTAATCCTCAGGAGATTGATGTGGAGAAGCTGTTTCTTTAATCACAATCTTATAGAAGAATAAAAAAATTCCATTTTTTTACTCTTTTCGATGCAGTTCATCTATTTTTGGTTCAACTAACTGCAGCTAATGGAGTTTTTTCCACAATAATTCAGTCATTACCATTTTAAGGTTTGAGTTTTGTTAAATGCATCTCAATTCATCTGTTGAATAATTAATACGCAACAATTTTCTGCTTCGTGTTTGAGCTCAATCACCAGTAATTGCTGGTGGGTTCCTCACTGTTGGAGGAAATCTGTATCTGTGCTGGAGGTTGTCTGATTACCCAGCTACACAAATGTTTTATTTTATCTGCTGCTTTCATGTTTGAAACAAACAGCTAAAACAGCTGGGATTAAAAAAACAAGTTCTTGTGTCTCTTGAATATTTTGATATTTCTTTTTTTATTTTATTTAACATTTATTTCACCAGGGAAAACATTAAGAACAGTTTCTTTTTTACAGTGTTAGCTGTTTTTCTACCAAAAACAGCTAAAATAATCCCTAAAGCATGATTTGCTACTTATTTTATAATAAACCAGTGTAATATGCACGAGTGTGTGTCTGTTTCAGGTGAATACACGGTGATGACCGCCCACTTCCACCTGAAGAGGAAGATCGGTTACTTCGTCATCCAGACGTATCTGCCGTGCATCATGACGGTCATCCTCTCTCAGGTCTCCTTCTGGCTCAACCGGGAGTCGGTGCCGGCCCGAACCGTGTTCGGTGAGATTTACACAAAACCGACCGTTTAAAAGAACAAAGAAACACCAGATTACTGCTGACTGTGTTACATTTTGTCCCACAAACAGCTGTTTGTGTGTGGGTAACAGGATTAACCCACGTGCCAAACTCAAGGTTCATGGGCCAAATCTGGCCCTCGTTAACATTTTTTTCTGTCCCCAAAGGTAATACTTCAAACTAAAAATAGTTTTACTGTTTCTCTTTTTGTTACAGTCTTCTTACGACAGTTTGCCAAACTTCAAGCCAAGAAAATTAAGTTTAAAATTTCCAGTAATCTTTGATTTTTGGTGTGGAAAAGAGGCAACAGAGAATCAAGTTTAATCATCTTTTTCTGTTCATTTCTTCTTATTTTAAAGTCACTGGTTTGGATATTTTGTGAATTATTTTTGAACTTGTTTTGCTGGATTGTAAAAAATGTATCTTTAAAAAATAAAAAATAAAAAGTTGTTGATAGACAGTAAGAAATGAATGATCTCTTTCTAATTATTTTCTTTAAATGTTATAGGTGATGTTTGTTATAAATTCTACATAAAACACAAATCATAAAAAGATCATTTTGTATTCCTATAAGAATAACTTGTTATATAACATTTCTTCAGTAAATACTGACAGAATGCGACTCTTGGTTTGGACCAAGTTTTGAATTTGACCCTGGATTTACCCGTCCTTCAGATATGCTGCAGCCTGGAAGGTTAAAAGTTGCAACTAAAGCTCATTCTTTACATACATATGAATGCTTTTAGTTTGTGTTTAGAGATTATTAGATATAGCTTTATTGATCCTTTGGGGGGAGTTCTTCAGGGAAATTAAAGTTCCAATAGGATCAAGCAAGCAGCAAAAATGACAGCAAAAACAAACAATGCAAAGCAAAAACAATAAACATACAAATTTAACATGATTCCATATAACAGTTGAGCCCTTTTAGGGCGGTGGTGGTGTCTACTGCTCTTTCCTGTCCTCCTGGTTTTATGCTTCTTTTCATGTGATATTTTCTCTGTTTTGTTGTTTGGTTTTATTTTCTTATTTCCTGTCTAGTCTCCCTGTGTTTCCTGTGCCATTTCCTCCACTTTATCCTCAGTCGGCTTCTTAACGTTTCTCCAGCCTGTCCCTTAACCGGTCCCTTGTTGCCCCAGTGAATCATTGACTGTTTTTCATGCCTCCAGTCTTGACCATGTCCATAATCTCATGTTTCTCCTTGTCATTATTTTTGTAAGTTTGTTGCCTCCATGTCAGCGTTTTCTTTCTCTATTTAATAATTTAGTTTAACTTCAGTATATGCTTACATTTCAGTTGTATTGCTGGTAGTAAGTCGGACTCGTTTCCGGTGAGAGTTGGACTCCCCCGAGGTTGTCCTTTGTCACCAATTCTCTTCATAACTTTTATGGACAGAATATCTAGGAGCAGCCAAGGTGTTGAGGGGATCCTTTTTGGTGACATTGGGATCACATCTCTGCTTTTTGTGTATGATGTGGTCCTACTGGCTTCATCAGATCATGATCTCCAGCTCTCACTGGAACGGTTTGCAGCCGAGTGTGAAGTGGCCTGGATGAGGATCAGTGCCTCCAAATCTGAGACCATGGTCTTGAGCTGGTAAAGGGTAGGGTGCCTTCTCCAGGTCGGGGAGGAGGTGCTGCCCCAAGTGGAGGAGTTTAAGTATCTCGGGGTCTTGTTCCCGAATGAGGGAAAAATGGAGCGGGAGATCGACAGGTGGGTTGGTGCTGCTTCTGCAGTGATGTGGGCGTTGAACCGGTCTGTCATGGTGAAGCGAGAGCTGAGCCAGAAGGTGAAGCTCTCAATTTACCGGTCAGTCTACGTTCCTACCCTCATCTATGGTCACGAGCTTTGGGTAGTGGCCGAAAGAAGGAGATCACAGATACAAGCAGCCAAAATGAGTTTCCTCTGCAGAGTGTCTGGGCTCTCCCTTAGAGATAGGCTGAGAAGCTCAGTCGTCCAGGAGAGACTCAGAGTAGAGCCACTGCTCCTCCACGTCGAGAGGAGCCAGTTGAGGTGGTTCATCTGGTTAGGATGCCTCCTGGACATCTCCCTGGTGAGGTGTTCTGGGCACTCCCACGGGGAGGAGACCCAGAGGAAGACCCAGGACACGCTGGAGGGACTATGTCTCTCAGCTGGCCTGGGAACACCTTGGGATTCCCCCGGACGAGCTGGGCCAAGTGTCTGGAGAGAGGGAAGTCTGGGTGTCTCTGCTTAGGCTGCTGCCCTCAAGACCTGACCCCAGATAAGAGGAAGAAAACGGCCAGAGAGACGAATATGCTTACATTTCGGGTTTTACCATAATACGACGTAAACAACAAAGGGGTTTTGCAGTCTGTTAGTTCTACACTTGAAGGAGCAGTCTGTCACTGAACAGGCTCCTCTGGCTGCAAAAGGCTTTGTCCATAATGTCCAGAAGTTTGTCCAGAGACGTCCTCTCTGCCACATCACCATAAAGTCCAGCTTAATGYCGACCACAGAGCCAGCCTGCCTGATCAGTTTGTCCTGCATGAATGATTCTTGGACATGGGGTAGAAAAGAGAACTGGCAACCACTGAAGCCTCCTCAGGAAGTCCAGCCTGCTCTGGTTCTTCCTGTAGAGGTGGTCTGTGTGTGACCAGTCCAGTTTACTGTCTATCCACAGTCCAAGGCACTTATAGGAGGAACTTGGATTTAAAATTATTTTCATTCAGTTTGATCGTTTTTCTGCTGTAGGTGTGACTACAGTCCTCACCATGACCACTCTGAGCATTAGTGCCCGCAACTCGTTGCCGAAGGTGGCCTACGCCACCGCCATGGACTGGTTCATCGCCGTCTGCTATGCCTTCGTCTTCTCCGCTCTCATAGAGTTCGCCACCGTCAACTACTTCACCAAACGAGGCTGGGCCTGGGATGGAAAGAGCGTCGTCAACGACAAGGTAACCCATCAAACTTTTTCTTTTTTTTGGATTTCAAAGCACATTTTCAAGCAAACCTCATGTCTCCATGAAAGACACGTTTTAAAATATTTACAGGGTTAAAATGAAAGTCACTTCAGATGTTAGACGACTGTATCTTCAAAGAGTTTGATCTCAAAAGGTTTTCTGACTCTGTTTCGATTCCGCTGCAGAAAAAGGAAGCGGCAGTCGTGAAGAAGAACAACGCCTACGCCGTGGCAGTGGCGAACTACGCGCCGAATATCACAAAAGACTCGGCGCTGCCCACCATTTCCAAGTGCGCCATGAACGATCCCATTAAGACCGCCGCCGAGGCCAAGTCTGAGCAGAACAAGAAAACCTTCAACAGCGTCAGCAAGATCGACCGCATCTCACGTATCATGTTCCCGGTGCTGTTCGGGACCTTCAACCTGGTCTACTGGGCCACGTACCTGAACAGGGAGCCGGTTATTAAAGACCTGGACCCCGCCAAATAAACTCACTCACCACAACACATTGCTTTAGAACATAATTTTGTCCGTTTGCAGCTGATTTAAATGAAAAGTTCCCTTTTTTATCATTTCTTTCTTGGCATAGTTTTGATCGGCTACAGCTAAACATTACATTATATACAAAAATGATAATTTTAATGGTAATAGAATCCAGGAACAAACAAACAAACAAACAAACAAACAAACAAACAAACAAACAAACAAACAAACAAACAAACAAACAAACAAACNCAAACAAACAAACAAACAAACAAACAAACAAACAAACAAACAAACAAACAAACAAACAAACAAACAAACAAACAAAAGAAAAGGTCAAGAGTTATGTGATGAAGATCTGTGAAGCATTATGTAGCTGCTGAGAAACCAAACATTTTCTTCCAGAGATTCTCTTTTTTAAATTAATTGTCTTTATTTAAGTAATTAAGAGAGTTGAACTACAACCGAACCATTTCTGGTGGATCTAACGTGTCTTCAGTTTTTAGTTGATGACAGTCTTTTAAATTAGCTCCTTACTGTTTCTATGATAATCTGATGTAGCATAGCAGGTGAAATTAACTTACAGAGAATTCTTCTGCATTTCCCCTCAGGTGGTCCCCTTTTATTCGTTTTAGCTGTAACGTCCTGAAAATTTACTGTTGTTCATCTCCAGTAAGCTCTGGTAAAAAACAAAAACGTCTGTATCTCACTTCCTCAGCACCAAACTACAGTTGAGTGAAGTATAAAATAAACTATCGAAAACTAAAAATACATTTTGGTTAAAAAATGTTTACGCGACACTATGTTTTCGTTATTTCAAACTACAGATACGTTTTGTTAGGTATCTGTTTGACGTTTCTTTAGACTGCTCAGGCAACTTGTGCCTTAATCAACCAACAAATCAGCACTTATTTGAACCGGTAGCAGTTGGGCAGGGTTGAGACATGTTCAGTTTTAGGAGGTGGATATTTCATCTTGAATCATGTCTAAATTCATTTTTACTTTGATTTGTTTTGATTGGTTTTGGAAAAAAAGACCCAAACGAAACCAATGGTGGAACAGACAAGAAGAATATTTGAACTTTTACTTGTGTGTTAAAATAAGTTGTTGTTTTCAGTTTTGGTCTAACACCTGTCTTCTGGTGTTAACTTTAAAATTGACCCATAATCATAGATCTGGTGTATAAAAGGGGGAAGCATTTCCTGTTTGAGCAGGAGTGACTGACTCAAGATATCCAGAAGCTGTGGCTGCATGGTTGTGTTGCTGATGCTGAAAACCAGCTATGAAGTCAACTCAACAATGCAACAGCCTGTGGGAGGTCACTGGACTTGGATTTAGATGGGACTCTCCCATCAGACCAAAGATAAATTTATATTCACAGAGCATCATGCTAACTTCTTTCCATCAGACACTTGTTACTTTTCTTCTTTACTTGTGTTGGTGGTTGATATTAAAGTAAGCATTACCACTGCCACCTGTTTTTACCTGTTTGAGCAGTGCAAATTACTTGGCTTCCCCAAAACAAAGTGACAGTTGTGGTGGCCAAAGATTTTTATTTTATTTTATCGAGGTCAAGGTCACCCCAGGCCCCTGGCTCTGCCGCTGAACAAAGCATGACTGCTTGCTGCTGGTTCAGATAGATTTTTATAGAAAAATTTCCACTAAAACTCTTATCATTTAGCTCACTATTCTTACATTTTGTCAATTTTTTTTAAACTAAATGTTACCTTTAAATGTTAACTATTATGTCTAAATGTTAGCTTCTAAATCTAAATGTAAAAACTAAATATTAGGTTTAATAATAATACTAATTGAATGCATTTAAGAATTTAGGAATGAAACCTAGTCTTTGTTCTCAGTGTGAGGATTTATTGTGATGTCATCATTTTGCGACAAAATACGCTAACACTGCTAACTCTGCTAACTTTGCTAACGCTGCTGAAGAGGGCATTTAAAATAAACAATATAGATGAAATTTGAAGTGCAGCTCAGACACCGACCTCAACTGCAATTTTGATGTCTTGTAGGGAAGCGTTAGCAGTGTTAGCAATGTTAGCAGTGTTAGCAGTAGCCTCACCCTTGCCTTTCTACACAGTTCCGCTAAGTTCTAGTTTCCCTTCTCTGCTTTGTCTGGGATTTCTCCCACAGACAAGGATTTGTCCGTAGATTTTTATCTGGGCCAATCAGCAAACAGAAGGAGGAGTTTTGGTTTGAACCACGTCAGTTTTCTGCACAGTGTTTGCTTGTAGTTTAATGGCAGTGGAGGAAGTGAACGAAGCCAGTCCATGTTGACAAGGCTTCCAAATTAAAAGAAATTTATCTCACAAAGCATGCAGGAATCATTTACAACCATTTCATTTGGCTCGGTACTTCTCCCCACTCGGTAGGGTTGTTTACAGCCCTTGTACGCAATTTAACCTCCTTCACAGTGAAGCTGGCGCACATGCGTCACGGCCAGCTGTTAGCAATTGAATAAATCAGATCCAATTGTTTTAAACTTTAACAGAGGAAAAACCTCCAGGAAGCAATCGCTTCTCAATAGCCGAGAGTCCAGGAGTCCAGACCCTCTGTACGAAACAAAGCGAAGAACAAAGAGCTGGTTTTTACCAGGCTATGTTAGCGGTGTTAGCATTCCATTTGTCGTAGGATGATGACAAAACAAAAGCCGAGTACAAACAGCAAAGCCTGCGTTCCATTTTGAAATGCTTAAATGAAAACTTTAATATTTTTTTGGTTTTAAAATCCAGACAAAATATTTAACCCTTAAATGTAATATTTATTAAAAATGAGTAAAATGTAAGAACAGTGAGCTAAATAACAATAAAATGTTTGTGGAACATGTTAAACTAGGAATTTACACTCAGAAAATGATCTAAAGTAATTAAAATGCTTTAGTAACATTTTAAACATTTTGTTACACTTGGCACCTCATAGATTTTCGGGCTCTTTTTAATTTTTTATTTGTTTTTGATAAGGTCGTACACACCCACGATTTATAAATATAAAAATTAAAATTTGTTCAGCAACTGGGTTGCAGCTAAAATGATTGACAGTGTTTATAATGAATCCTTTATTGCCCTCATTATTACACCAAAAGCATGTTTGTTAGCTTATTTTAGCAGATTTGCTTCCATTACTGTAAATCAGTTTTGTGTAGTATTTGGTATACATATATGTGTCCATGAAGTAGATAAAAAGTAGCATTTAAATAATTTACTGTAGTTATTTTATTCCTTTTGTTGAACAGAATCAAACCTGATGTCCACACGTTCTCTGGACTCACTTTAAACGTCCATGATTTAAAAACCATCACGTTCTGGAGCTCTGCTGCTCACTCCGTAGCTTTTTTTTACACTTTTTAAACTTTTTATCCACTTTACTTCCCCTCACGCTCAGTGACACACTGTGAAAGATGATACTGACTGAAAACACGAGGGTTTGTACCTCTGAAAAATGTCCTCACTGGTTTTATGCTTTTGCGTGTCTTTGTGGTTATAAATGTTTGTTCATCGGTATAATTTTATATAAAATGTTGCACAAGTGAAGAGCTGTAATGACTATGGAGTTCTCAGTCTCTTGTATTTTATGTTGTGTGTTTATGTGAAAAATGAAAATTTTTTAAATGATTTATAAAACCTTTTTAATGTAAATTTATTTTGTGTGTAGCTAAATGAACACTGTGCTTTAAACACTATCAGTTTTGTGTCTTTGAGAAACAATGGAATATGTTTACTTCCTGCACAACCAGAAAACTTAATTACAAAAATTTGTTTAAACTGTTTAAACTTAAAAAAATGAACTAAAATTCAATGAGTTACAGTCAAGGTTCTTGTTGACACTAATTGTTTTTATTGTGAATTTAAAGAAAATCTAACATTTCTGTAATAAATATAAACTTTTATTCAGAGAAACTGGTTTTTTTCTATCATCTAGAAGTAGAAAAAACACTGGAAATATGATTTACATTGTTTTGATTTGATTCCATGTCCATTCATTCATCCCTACTTCAGGAACTCTATTTATTTCAGTCTCTGTGTGTAAAAACATCATCGAACATGTTTGACGGTGTGTGGTGAACTCATCAGGCACAGGATTTTAAATTAAATCACAACCTGTCTTGATTTTATTTGGTAAAAATATTGCTGAGACCTTGGATTGTGTAATCTAAAATTTAAAATATCAATACTGAGGTCAGGTTAGGTGTCTGATAGATAGCGTGATGAAATGTTTGTTTACAATTTATTTGCTCTGACTTTATTTATTTATTTAAACTGAGCGTTTCTCATTAGCTGTAGCCCCTCCTCTTTGTCATGGCCACATGTGATGGAAACATTTTTGTTGACATCATATTTATATTTTTTTACATGTGTTGCTTTTTAAACTCTGCAAAAGAACAAGTATTATTATCTGTTAACTTTTACATTTATTTTGCTGCGTTGAATCATTAATTAAAAAATTTAAATAGATTTTTTCATACTAAATGAAAAAAAGAGAAAGGTTTTTAAAAAATTTCAAGATATGTTTCTTTAGGGCCAATGAGTTATAAAAATAAAAACAAACCCAATTTTTTTATGTTCATTGGTGCCCCCCCGATCCTTCACTGCGCCCCCCGAGAGGGGCGGGCCTCAATATTTGAAAAACAATAGCAGAGTAGATGGCAATAAGATATTTTTTCCTCTTTATATTAATGCATTGATTTGTCTTGCTGTAGTTTGTTAAAAAACACTTTAATTTGCCTAAAATCTTTGTCCTGTGTTTTATCATAGTTGAGGCAAAATCCCACAATTGAATGAATACAACATTTCAGTAAAAAGTATCGGCGTCTGTTTCGATACAGAATCAATAACATCAATAATCAATCAGAATTATCCACTCCTAAAAAAGTCTTCGACACTGTAAAATGTTTTGTGTCGCATCAGTTCACAAACATGTCGGGCACTAGGACCAGGAGACACGTTYCTCAAAGCAGCTTCCCTCTGCAGCTACGTGGTGAGAAGAAGAGTCTCTGTCAACAGACTAAATGCTGAGTTCAGGTTAGGGGTGTAAGAAAATATCGATACACTGAAATATCACGATATTTCATTTCCCGACACTGTATTGATATCCTAAAGCCCTGTATCGACTTTTAATTAAGGTTTAAAATGTCAACCTTCTTGCCAACCGTTCATTTTTATGTTGTAGTTCAGCCTCTGACCACTAGTTGGCAGCAGTGAGCC